GAGCAGGGAGCCCGATGCGGGGCTCGATCCCAGGACCCCGGGATCATGACCTGAGCCACAGGCAGACGCTTAACGACTGAGCCACCCAGGCGCCCCACTGAGCCACCCAGGTGCCCCTAGTTTTCTTGTCTTTAAAATGATGTATTTTTTATCTCCTTGATGACAGCCACACCAGAATTGAATAAACATACTAAAGAAGAATATCTCTAAAAGTGGCCTCTAATTGAATAACAGATAAAGTTCAGATGCCTTGTCTTTAAGATGAGCTCATGCTCCTTTAATCTATACCTGGTATTCATAGCTAAGGCAATGATTAGTAATATTAATAGAGTGTGCAGTGTAAGTAATGTAGTATATAAAACACTATGTAGTAATCATAAAAGTTAATATTCATTTAGCTCTTCATATGTATTATTGTAAAGACCTTACACTTTTTAATCTTCCCAGAAATCTTATGAATGAAGTTCTGTTATGATTCCTAATTCCCACTTGAGGAAACTGAGTCAGAGCGGTTGAGTCACTTGGCCAGGGTTAAACCCAGATGTGATCCCGGGCCAGAACTCATCACTACTCACCACACCCAGTCTCTCGGTGAGATTCTCACCCAGCTCCACATTCGGTCACTGTGAAACTTTTGCCCCCAGTTTTTTCATCCTTAAAATAGGAGTCACTTAAGTTAAGCATCTAGCCAGTGCCTGCCACAGTGGTACTTAATAAACGTTTTTTCTGTTCTCTGAAGAGAATTTCACATTATAAAAGTCTGATGTTTTTTCTGTATTTTTTATTTTTTTAAAGATTTTATTCATTTATTTGACAGAGAGAGCACAAGCAGGGGGAGGGGCAGGCAGAGGGAGAGGGGGAAGCAGGCTCCTCGATGAGCAGAGAGCCTGATGCGGGGCTCGATCCAAGGACCCTGGGATCATGACCTGAGCCAAAGGCAGACACTTAACGACTGAGCCACCCAGGCACCCCTCATGTTTTTTGGGGTTTTTTTAAAGATTTTATTCATCTATCTGTGAGAGAGAGAGCAAGCACAAGCAGGGGGAGCTGCAGGCAGAGGGAGAAGCAGGCTCCCCGCTGAGCAAGGAGCCCGATGCGGACTAGATCCCAGGACTCTGGGATCATGACCTGAGCCGAACGTAGAGGCTCCACCGACTGAGCCACCCAGGCATCCCAAAATTCTAGTGTTTTTAAAGAGATCTGAATTTGTTTTCTAGGGCTGGTGTAACAAACTATGACAACACGGGTGGCTTAAAACAAAACAAATGTATTCTCTGATAGCTCTGGAGGCTAGAAGTCTGAAATCAATGTGTTAGCTGGACCACATTCCCTCCAAAGGCTTTACGGGGAATTTTTCCTCTGCTCCTCCTCTGCTGGGTTTCATAACTTAATTATAGCTACAAAGACCCTTTTCCCAAATAAGGCCACATTCACAAGGTCCAAGATGTGGACATATCTCTTTGGGATCCACCATTCCACCTACTATGAAATCTTAATTTAAATATGCTTATGTCTTGGGAGATGCCCTCTGGTATTCTTGACCAACAAGCCCACATTTATTCCAAGAGGGAAAAGAACATTTTATCTCACCCAATTTACACCTATAGTTAAATTGGTTATAAAATCTGCCGGCTGAAAATATTTTTCTTAATATACCCAGTTGCCATTAGCCTTCTCACATTTACTTGAAAATCAATAAAATTCTTGGTAAACAAACAATTGTTACCCATTTAAAAGAACAGGCCTGGAGCTTAGCACTTGTCCACTTTTCACTAGAATCATGCAAGGTAGCCATGCACTTGGGAGCAGGTGAAAGAGAATGAAGCCAGTAATAATATGTCTACACAGTTCTTACCAGGAGAATGAGAAATCCACTTGGCTAAATGGTCAATGAGACTTTTTTCTTTTAGTATAGCATTTAAGTAACTCAATTTTAAGTACAAAATCATAAGATTTAGAGTAATTTAATTGCCTAAAAGCAACAACATGTTTTGACATAACTCTATAAACACCTGTCTTTCCTTTCCCCCCTCCTCCTCTTACCCCTAAATTCCCTATGCCAGAAACTAGCTGACCTAGAATGCCAACCAACCCCGTAGGGAAATGCCCCCAGATCTGAGGGTTGACAGAGAAAACATCTCAACAATGCTATGTCTATCTCCATGACCCTTGGAGTCAGCCTAGATTTCTACTCATTTGCCTAAAAGCAATAATAACTGAGACACAGAAGCAGCTCAGTTGAGGGCAGTGAAAAAGCAACAGACTGTATTACTACTGTCACAAAAATCACGCCTATGAGAGTTCAGTGTTGTTGGTCACCAAAATAAGAAAAACACTGAACTCATCACCGGAAACATTCCAAACAGTGTAATAAGAAGTAAAAAACAAACCAGAAGAATGAGAAAGAGGAGGAAGGACAGATAATAAACAAAAACAAAAAAGTTTTATGAGCAAATATTCAACAATGTTATCAAAAAAATAAATTTGCAAAGAAAACTACTGTTAGGACATACTATTGGAAGTGTCTTGATTGACCAGCTGCCTGCCTATCAAGCAGATTTCCATTGACAGAACTCTGGGAGCAAGTGCTCAGCAGGTATGATTGTGACAGATCAGTGTTGCAGTAACTCACCTTCTTCGGCCTCAGATTGTTTCTTAGAAATAAGTTTTCTCTTTCTGAACACATATCAAATATAATGACGATAGATAGGATGAGACAAAGGTTTAATTTTTCATGGTCAGACTTCTAGCTCCTAAGAAAACAGAGTCCTTAGAAACAAACAGTAAGCACAGAGTTCCTTTACCGAATTGTGGGTTTGGGGCGCCTGGGTGGCTCAGTCGTTAAGTGTCTGCCTTCGGCTCAGGTCATGATCCTGGAGTCCTGGGATCGAGCCCCACATTGAGCCCCACATCGGGCTCCCTACTCCGCGGGAAGCCTGCTTCTCCCTCTCCCACTCCCATTGCTTGTGTTCCCTCTCTCGCTGTGTCTCTGTCAAATAAATAAAATCTTTAAAAAAAAAAAAATTGTGGGTTTGATGGCCAAGAGCTGGGGAAGAAAACACAAAGCAGAACTGTTATGATGTGCCTGGAATACAGTTGCCTAGAAAGGGCTCTGTAATGACAGTAGAAAAGTTTCGGCCAGACAATTTAACCACTTTTCCACTCTTACTTCTTTTTAAGTGCTCTGGGTACCGGGGTCTTATAAGCCCCATTTTTCACATCACTGTCAAAACCAAATAAGCATATCATAGAATTTACAATTCCCCCAAGTACTGTATGTATTCTGTATACTGACTTTCACTGATGCCAGGAATACACGTAAACATGTCATCCCTCCTCTCAGAAGGTTATTTGTAGTTTGGCAGTTCCTGTTTTTCCTCTTGTATCCTAAAAGTCAAGAGAAAGGGAACCTCACTGGGACCTCAGAATTATTATTTGAAGACATTTGGGGTTATTTATTTACTCAGCTTTGGATGGTACATCTATGTAATTTTGCTCAGCTAGTCATGCCCCACTACAAATTGAGAATCTCAGTAACTTTTATTTTTTATTTATTTTATTTATTTTTTTTTTTAAAGATTTTATTTATTTATTTGAGAGAGAGAGTGAACATGAGAGGTGAGAGGGTCAGAGGGAGAAGCAGACTCCCTGCCGAGCAGGGAGCCCGATGCGGGACTCGATCCTGGGACTCCAGGATCATGACCTGAGCCGAAGGCAGTCGCTTAACCAACTGAGCCACCCAGGCGCCCCTCAATAACTTTTAATGACAAAAAATATATATTGTTCAGACTGTTTTATTTAAGATTTCATTTATTTATTTACTCGCAAGCACGAGTAGGGGGAGGGGAAAAGGAGAGGGAGAAATAGACTCTGCGCTGAGCAGGGAGCCCAATGTGGAGCTCGATCTCAGGACCGTGAGATTATGACCTGAGCCGAAGGCAGATGCTTAACGACAGAGCCACCCAGGCGCCCCGGTTTCTTCTTCTTTAATAAAATAGTAATAAAGACTCTTAATCTCAGGAAACAAATTGAGGGTTGCTGGAGTGGTGGGGGGTAGGAGGGATGGGGTGGCTGGGTGATGGACATTGGGGAGGGTATGTGCTATGGTGAGCACTGTGAATTGTGTAAGACTGTTGAATCACAGACCTGTACCCCTGAAACAAATAATACATTATATGTTAATAAAAATTTTTAAAAAAATAGTAATAAAGAGGTTCATCCTAAGAAATGACATTCTAGCTAAAAGCTTGGCTCAGAAATTCTACTCTCCACTCCAGTTTGGGCAGAAATAAACAGGGGTACTTGGCTCTTTTCTATATGAGTAAATGAAAGGACACCAGGAACAACACAAAATATATCATCCCACTTGTTACAAATTTCTCTTCCTATTCATAACATCTACTCAACACGAATGTACTTACTGCTTTTTTTTAGTTTCAAAATATTTATCTTCTTTTTGATAGCTACACAACATAGAGACTGATCTAATGTGAACTTAGTATTTCTTAAACTATTATGAAATTTTCTGTTAAAGTCAAATTCCAAATTTTCTTTCCTGGGCAGAAGTCTTTAATTCATAAATCCCTCTGGAATCTGTCAGAATATGCCAAACAATAAGGATTACTTTGAAATTACAGTTATTCAACACATGCCATGTTGCCCAGCAGTCTCAATAAATAGTTGGGCTGGAAATACATGTTTTCTCTTGTTCTGCTTTTGTTAGTGTCAGTGACAATTGGAGGCAATCAGGTCAGTTCAGATAGCCACAAAGACACTCTGCTCTTGCATATAATTCAAACCAACACTGTACCAACAACAACTTGGCTAAATTGTTGGTGAGACTTTTTCCTTTTAGTACATTATTTCAGTAACTCACTTCTAAGTACAGGATTAGACAATTTAGAGTAACTTAGTTGCCCAAAGCAGTAACATGCTTTGACTTACAATTGTTTGTTTCTTCCTCTCCGAGGAGCCTAGAATTATTCAAATCCATCACTTCTCGTCTGACTGATATTAACCCGGGTATCAGCATGAGGCATTGGTTGCCAAAGGATGGCTGGAGAGTATTCTAAGATGTACGGAAATTCACAGGAAAATGTGAAGCAAGGATGGAACTTCTGTGAGGCACAAAAAAACACTGGAGTCATCCACAGAAAACTTAGAGCAAGATATCTGGAAAGTGGGAAACCAATAAACTGCTATTATGCCTGATTCTGACATAGACACAATATGAAGTTTTGCCATTAATTGTAAGAACTTTGTATCTTTGTGAATCAAACTGTGTTCACGTAAAGCAGCAACTTGCAATTAGGTCCCCAAGACAAGAACTATTACGTAAGGTTGCGCAGGGCACAGCTCACACAAAGGTATGTGGTTGCCCTGCCCAAGACACATTTGAAAATGTGCTTAGAGATTGTAATGCCTTTCAAGTAGTGTTTTGTGGTAATCGCTATATACATGTGTTGTTTTATTTTTTCAAAAACATTACTAGACAATTCAACTAGCGAACACAAATAAGGGTTGAGGGTTTTTTTCCTATAAAATATACACAGCACTCCATTATAGGTAACCGTTATTTGACAAAGACATTTTGACTCTCTTAACTTAGGAAAAATGTTGCAAACAGTTTAAAGTTGTACCAATCCACAAGGAACAACAACAAACACTACTAGGACCATGACGATGACTTCTAAAGAGCTCACAACCTACCCCTACATTCCCTACCGCATCACTGAGACACTTGGAGGCAGTTATGATTATCTTCATTTTACATAAAGAGGCTGGGACCCAGAAGATTTTGGAACTTATTCAGGAATATGAAGCAAACTGAATGAATGGATGAATGAATAGAAAAGAGTAAGCTACAACACAATTAAGGTCTCCAGATGTTCCCATCCTGGGATTTTTCTCTATTAGAACAATTTTTCTACCTACCAATCTTAAATTATTACTCACCTAGAGTAAGCACTTGTAAAAGCCATTTTAATGGGCTTTAAAACCACTTCACAAGTGTTTGTTTTTTTATTCCCCACAGAGTCCATGAACTTTAAACAGTATGAGAAAAAAAAAGCATATGTTACATTGAAAAAAATTTAGTACCAGCTTCTTTCCTTCCTACAAAAAGACAGATTGTACTGAATTTGCAAAAAACAATCTGCCTAAAACTCATTGCCTGAAAGCAGACAATGAGAATTCATAAGTACCTTTTATGTAGCCCACACTGTGCTATGGAAATATTAAATAAGCACAAGTGTGTTCCCTGCCCTCACCCCACTTACAGTTCAGTCAGCCAGCCAGCCAGTCAGCTAGCCAACCAGCGCACCAGCCAGCATGCAAGTATCCCACATTCCAGGCACTGGGGATAAAGAGATGACTGGGGCATATTCCCAGTTCTCAAAGACCTCCTAGTCTAGTGAAGAAACTTTACATGGCTAATTATAATACGGTATAAGTGCTGAAACGTTGTTCCAATTAAAAGACATAAACGAAAGCAATATATTTTCCTCAGGAAGGGTAGTTTCCTGAAAATGTTTCGTAGAAGAGAGAATATAGGAGCTAGGTCTTGAAAGTGAACAGGATTTTATCTAGAAGAGAAAGGGCACAAGAACATTTCTAGAAAAAAAAAAAAGATGAACAAAAGCATGGAAGCTTAAGAGTGAATGGAATTTAGCGGGAGAGTTCAGAGATGTTGCTGGAGAGGTAGAAAAATGAAATCGTGAGGGGCCTTAAAGGAATATTTCATATCATAGGAAATGGAGAGCCATTGAAGGGTTTCAAGCAAAGAAATTAATCTGTGATTTTAGGAAGTTAATTCCAGCATCAGGATGGAAGATTGTAAGGTGAAAGGAGATAAGTTTGTAGGCTATTTCATTAGTCCAAGCAAGATATGGAGAGAATCCACAGCACTGCCCAATAAAATTTGCTGCCATAACAGAAATGTTCTGTATCCATGCTGTCCAATATGGTAGCCATGAGCTGCATGTGGCTACTGAGCACTAAATATTTAAATTGCCCCATGTGACTAGTGGCTGCCATATTGGCCAGTGCAGAGGCATCTTAGAGAAGCTAGCACTTGAGTTAAGCCTTAAAGCAGGGTGTTTCCAGCTGTAGGTTATAATTGGTGTAGCTCACAACTGGGATATTTTTTAATGACCAAAGAGAATAACATAGAATGCAGGAGAATTAAATCAAATAGAACAGAATAGAAAAGAAAGTAGCATGCACTGTAGAGTAATACTGTGAGAGATGTTTGTTTCAGTTATAGAGCTGTGTGTGTGTGTGTGTACTCTGGATCACAATGCAAATGTACTTTTCCTCTCTATTCTGTTTAAAAATGTTTGAAAGCCATTCCTTTATGAAAGGGTATTATTTAACTATGTTCAGAGTTATTAGCAAGATGTTCCCAGAAGAGCAGAGTTTAGTTCATTGGAGTTTAGAATAGGGATGACTCTGGACCTTTCAAGACTTTCCTAATTATTATTTTGCTTTCAAAAAATTAATAGACTTTATTGTTTAGAACAGCTTTAGACTTACAGAAAAATTGAGAAGATAGTACAGAGAGTTTCCACATACACTGCACTCAGTTTCTCCTATTAAGACCTTACATTAGTATTACAATTAATGAGCCAATGTTGATATGCTATTAAGTAAAGCCAATACTTTACTCATATTTCCTTTGCTTTTACCTAATATCCTTTTTTTCTATTCCAGGATTCCATCCAGGATAACACATTATATCTAGTTGTCATGTTTCCATAGGCTCCTTTGAGCTGTGACAGGTTTTCACATTTTGCTCGCTTCTGATGACCTTGAGAGTTTTAAAGAGTACTGATCAGGTATTTTGCAGGATGCTACACTGTTGGAATTTTGTCTGATGTTTTTTCTCATGATTACACTGAGGTTGTGGGTTATTTGGGGGAAGACCACAGAGGTAAAATGCCATTTTCATGCCATGATATCATGGATACATACCATCAACATCATTTATCACTATTGATCTTGGCTTTGATCCACTGGCTGAGGTAGTGCTAATCAGTCTTCTCCACTTTAAATTTACTTTTTTATCCCCCTTGTCAAACAGTACTCTTTGGGAGGAAATCACTCTGCTCCTTTTAAAAATGAATTACTTAGGGACCCCTGGGTGACTCAGTCAAGTGTCTGCCTTTGGCTCAGGTCATGATCCCAGGGTCCTGGGATCTAGTCCCACATCAGGCTCCTTGCTCAGCAGGGAGCCTGCTTCTCCCTCTGCCTGCTGCTTCCCCTGTTTGTGCTCTCTCGCTCTGACAAATAAATAAATAACATCTTTAAGAAAAATAAAAATGAATTACTTAATCAAAGGGAGGCTTGAACCTGAATAAAAAGTACTGACTTCTTTCCAAAGAAAGCTACTTCTGAGTACAGACACGGTCTCTTTTTAGATATAGCATCTCTCTCTGCAGCAGGCAGGACACTTTTTTCACATCTCAGATTTTCAGGTTCCAAATATGAAGCACACACACACACACACACACACAAAAGCTAAGTGACTGACGCAAAGTTCTAAATAAGTTGGAAAGGAATTAACTCAAAATCAATTGCAGATCTTTCTGACTTTTCTCCTCAGCCCCAGATCCTGACATTTTAGAAGTAAATTTAACCCAAAACCCAAAATGTGTTAGGGCTTTTTTTCCCCCCAAGAGGGAAGATTCATTTTTAGCTAATGTTTAGAAAGGGAGATCCCAAACTGAGAAAATCCGGTAATTTGGAGTACCTTCTTTAGGTGGAGGAGGGCTGCAAGATCAAGCCTCTGCAATTTCCACAAGGTCAGTTCCAGCCTGCCAAACCACCTGTTGCTTCCCCCTCATTGCAGTTGCCTAACCTCCTGCCACTCCTGTTCTCATGGACAGAAAACAACAACACAGAACTTCCTGAGCAAGCCCAGCCTCTCTTTTTCATTCCTTCCCTGAACGTTCCCTTCACAATGCTCTCGTTTCATGACTCATACACATGGGTTCATGGGAACACATGGGGTTTTCTTGTTGCTCTATGTATTCTTTCTTGTCCATACAGACCAGAACAAAGTCCTGCCCCTGAGTAATGTGGGTCATAAGTCCCAGGTCCTCTCCGTTCATTCTGGGAGAAGAGGTGCAAATTTATCTCCTTCCTCACTGTACACAAATCGAGTGAGGGGGAAAAAAATCATCACCTGTTGATAAAAGGGCAGTGACATTCAGAAATAAAAAATAGTCACTTACTCTCCAATCAATTATAAGATAACTTCTTAGGGGACTCCCAAGCCCTTACTATTTTCCAGGGCCCCAGTGTCCTTGTTCATTCGCTGGATTCCCTTCAGTATTCAGTCTCTTCCTGTGTCTCCCAGGACTCTAATAATCCTTCTCCCACTTCCTCCCCTCTGCTTGGTAGAACTCTGCTTTACCAAGTTGGGTCAAGCCATGGGTAAAGCCAATTATCAGAGTTTCTCCAATAATAATAACAAAACAATTTATTATTTTGCATATCGTAGCATGGGTAAAGAAAGCCATGCTAAGATGTGCATCACTAACAAGAACCTTAATTTTTGCTAGTTCCCAGTAACATTTGCAATAAATAGGCATCCAGATCCTCATTTGGTCAGAGGAGCATCTGAAGGGTGGGAATTCAGGAAAGAGTCTGGGGAAATAGAGGGTAGGGGCTGAGGTCTTCCAGATATCCTACACACCTGAGTCCATTGTCCTTGCTCAACTTTAAGTCTTTTAAGATCACAGAAAACCTTCACTGGAATTTTCACTTCATTCATCCAGTGTCAACTGCCAAGATACCGGGTGTTCTCTACCTGGTCCAGTCACTTCAATTTGGTTTGACAAACCAATTTCAATGTCAACCAATTTAATATCAATTTGATGTCAGCCCCATAGACTTGGTCCTTTTCTTTAAAATGAGTAATTTGGTCTAGGGGATCTCTACAGTCCATCCAGTCATTAACATTCTGAATTTCACTTTAGCTACCTGTTATATATGGTAAATACTATCTCTAATGTAGATTGGTGGAATATACTCAGTTGAATTATAATCCTCAAGGGCAATGATGACTGTCACCATGGAATCTCCAGTTTCTAGTGCAATTACCAGCATGTCAATAATTATTTTCAGTAAATAAAAGGAAGGGTGGGAGGGAAGAAGGGAAGGCTTTCTCCAGTCAGATTCTATCTTCCTATCTATGTCCTTCCACCATATGCAAATCTTTGAATTGATGTTTTGCTTGCATTTCTGCTAATCCTTCCAGCAAGCCTAAACAGTAGGGATTATTGTCTCCATTTTACAGGTGAGAAAATTGAGACCCAGAACAATTAAGTAACTGGGCCAAGGTCACACAGCCAGTATGTGGAGGAGTCAGGACTTGAACCAACATCTATCTTTATTCCCAAACCCATACTCTGCATTATGCAAATGCAAAAAAAAGCACTTTTCAAACTATAGAAGATCCTTTGAAAATATAAATTCTTTTGTTTTTATTATTACTAGAGAAACTCTGATACATCAAATCCATTAGGCACCTTAGAATGTGGTCCTACACTGGTCCTCATGTTTTTAAAACAATGGCCCAGAGAAAGCCTTTCCTTAGGCTTCACAGTCCATTTCTCCAGGTAAAGCTGCTGCCCTTTGCTTCACCCCCTACTTCTTACCTGGAGCTTCAATTGCTTTGTGTTCCACAGGGGTGCCCAGCCCTCCCAGTTCACCCAAGGGTGTACCCATCACTCAGCTTCAGCTGTCAGTCATACCCATCTAGGCCCCCGAAGACATATCACTATCTGCTTAAGCAATGCCACCCCTAAACAAAAGCACAACTTTCTTAAAGATCTAGGAAGGTTTTAAAAATCATCAAGTTTAGAGGGAAGTTTTTTTTTTAAAGGCAACAAACTACTGCCTCCCTCATTTCCATGTATGGAAATCACCTTTCAAAAGCACACAACTGAAAACAAGGAGATTTGTTGTGTGCTTGAGTAAAGTTACCATTTTAAGTCCTTTGTTTAGCTTTGCCAGGATAGGGCATTAGGTCTTTAAGGAAGTGGGCAAACGAATTCCACATTTCATTGTGAGAAATTAAGACGTTAAGATGTTTGCTCTCATCCAGTTCTAAGTTACCTTTGGGTAGGTAATTCCTTTCATGGCATTTCTACCATCTTGTTTCCCCAAATTCAGCCTAATCTCCTAGTTTCCTTCTTAACATCTTTCCATGTCCTATCCCCATGTGGTGTTCATTCCTGACCCCTCATCCACTGCGCGTTTGTTACATGGTCCAGCGTGCTGCCTATAAGAGCATCTCCTGTCTACACTGCCATTTTGGGGACAGATTCCTTCTGAAGCCATCACTGTTCAGAAGAAATCACACAGTAGTACTCAAATTGCATTTGTTAATGAATGAGTGAATTCTTCTACCCACATTACTCATCTTAAATACTTTTTTTTTTAATCTTGGATATATCCCTGTAGGACATTTTAAAATGGGCTCAAAAGGAAGTAGAAATATATTACCTACGCAAATCTAGAAACTAAATATAGTGTTTTTCTAACAATAGATTGTAACAGATGGTTTACCAATAATAACCAACTCTCTCTTCTCACCTTTTCTTTTTTTTTAATGTTTTATAAAACACTATCCTCTTTTATTCCGTAAAAATGCACGTAGATTCTAGAATGTACTATAATTCTATTTCCTTTTTTTCCCGGCTGCATTAGTAATTTTTTTTTAACTAAAGTGTAGTTGACATACAATCTTATATTACTTTCAGGTGTACAACACAGTGATTCAACGCACTCACCAGTGCTCAGCACGGTAAGTGTAGTCACCATACAAAGTTACTACAGTTATTATTGACGATATTCCTTATGCTGTACTTTTCCGCCCCGTGACTAATTTGTATTGTTACCTTTCCAGCTAAGGAACAAATAAACCATCTTTAAAATTGCTTTTCATCAATAAGGGGAAAAAAGAATCAAAGTGAGGGGAGAAATCAATGCCTTTTGTTGACTTTTAGGCTTCAGGAGACAGAAGTGAGATGGGGCGGTACAAGCCTTTTCACATGTCCTAGCTGGCTCCTGAGAGAACTGGGAAGTGACACAGGGGCCTGGGATGTGACACAGCGGCCGGGAAAACTGGCAAGAAAAACTTTTAAAACCTTGATTCTTTAAATTGTTAGCAGTATACGTCAAAGTCTTACCAGGTATCCACCTCTGGTGAATGCACTTTGGTGTGCTTCAGATCTACTGTTTGTCTGTTCGATTGATTGGTTTTTACAGTTGAAAACAATGAACATTGACTGTCTCACGGTTTCTGTGGCTCAGGAATCTGGGCACAACTTAGCTGCGTGCCAGGCACAACTTAGCTGCGTGCCTCTGGCTCACGGTCTCTCACAAGACTGCAGTCGAGGTGGCCATCGGGGCTGCTCAAGCAAGAAATTTAATTTTAGAAGAGAAATCTATACCCCACATTGGGGTAGAGACTACTAAAAAAGAAAAAAGTTAAAAATAGAAGAGAAAGCTATGGCCAGGCAATTTGTTGTGTGTATTTTTAAAAGCTAAAATGTATAGAGAAAAAGTCAATGATATTTCTAAATGAGTCATTTATCTCATTTATAAAAGTGAAAAGAGTATTAAGAATATTTTAAGTAGATTTTCGGTAGGAGGTTGATTCTGAATGAGTAACACCCTTGGGACAGCAGAGGTATAGATTTTCTGAAATGACTGGTCTTGAAAATCCTTTCATCTTGGCTTTAGAATGCAGAGAAGGCCACGTGTCCATATGAGCTTAACGCCTTATTGTCTCAAACCCACCACAGCCCCCCTCACTCACAGGATAAAGACAAAATACTTAGCTTATCCAAGTAGGCCCTGTTGTGCTTGGCCTAACTCTGGCCACCCCCTTCTCTTCAGTTTTCTCCTACTCCCACTCTCCATCCCCAGGTGTCTACAGCTCCGTTCCCTGACCCCTGCAAACATCTGTCAAACCTCTTCCCACCTCTGACTTTTGCACAAACATAAGTTGATCCCTCTCTTGGCCATTCTCCCCACCTGACTACCCATGTTATCTGTATGACTTATAGTCACCCTTTGGATCTTATCCCAAGCATCTCTTCCTCCAAGACTTGCTAAGACTGGATCAGGTTTCCCATAGCCTCTCATATGCTGCTCTTTTCGTTAAGGGCATAATGTAGTTGATATACATATTTGTGTATACCACTTGATTGCTACCTTTCTCCTCAACTGGATGAAGCTTCCTAAGGGGAGGGTCTGTGCCTGTCTGAGCCATCAGTCTCCCACCTTTGCCTAGTACAGCCTGGACGTGATACCTGATGAATGTTTTCTCACACTCCCGAACAGTTACCCAGAGTCACCCTGAACCATATCTAGGTAATGAAGAGGAAGCAAATATGGGTAGCCGTAAATGAGATCTTTAAACAAGTAAGTTTAGTTTGAAATATACAGTTGTCTAGTAGGACAGCCTAAAAGCTCAAATAGTGATACCTCCTAATTTTCTCCATTTTGGCCTATCAGTGGAAAATGTTGGTTGCTTGGATAATATTGCTCACTGAAATGACCACTTTTGTCATTCATTTCCTCTGAGACCAAACTCTATTGGCCTGCTCTTTCTCTGCAGCCAGAGCTAGGAATGAAAAAGAATGTTGGAAGTGACTTCTTAACCAAGGTCCACCGACCAGGACAAGGCATTTCAATCCAATTACTTAGTTCCCGCTCTGGCTTCTAGGACAGATGGGAGGCTGACTTTTCTTTTCATAAGAAAGCACAATGACTTCAGTTTGTACCATCTACTTGTTTGGATTATCCTGGCCATTATTACAGATAATCACAACAAAGACTTTGTATTTTGAGTTTTTGTGGAAATTACCCTCGTCAGAAATAGTTACTTATCAAAGCCAAACTGTTGAAAGTCAACAGTAGCTAACCATATCCCACTTAGGTTGGGACTATGAGTGATCTATAATTATTTTTTTTTAAGTTGGTTACTCTTCATCCATTCACTCATTCATTCAGCACATATTTACTTATGACCATCTTTGTGGCAGGCTTTAGGATCATGAAAGTCTCCCCATAGCCTGAGGAGTCCTTAGTCTTATGGAGCAAAAACATCTTATTTTACTCAAAGAGAATCAAAGAAAAGAGAGACGTGTTTAGGTCAGAAGGTAGAAATTATCTTCAAAAACTTTAACTGTGATTTGAATAGTAAATGTAAGCAAAGTGGACTTAGATGATGTGGCACCATTATATTCTTAGGAATAGGCAGAAGAGGCACAAGGGTCAGCCTATATTCCCATAGTGTCTATGGGAGTTTACAGAATCTTCCCAAGAATCTTTTTAAGAAATAATAGATGCCCTTCTTTCTAGGAATTTTTACATGCATGTGGTTGTAAGTGTGATCCTATCTGGGGACCAACAAAACATTTTTACATGGTTTTCATAATTTCTTTACCCAAAAACCAAATGATCACCCAACTTTGGGCTTCCATGTGCTTTGGAGGTCCCCAAGACCGCCCACATAGTCAGTGACTCACTAGAAAGACTCACAAAACTCAATATATGTTTATACTTACAGCTAGGGACGATTACAGTGAAAGGATGTACAACAGGATCAGCAAGGAAGAAAGATACAGATGGAATTGGAAAACATCTCCTTACAGGCTTCCGATGCTCTCTGCCTCCCATGAGTGGACAGACCAAGTGTGCTTCTTTCTCCACTAGCAAAAAGTGCAGTGATACATATGCAATACTTCTGCCCAGAGAAGCTCATTAGAGACTCGGCACCAGGGTTTTAATTGGGGCTGGTTCTGTGGACATCCTTTGCCTAACAATTATCAAAATTCAGACTTCCAGAATAAAGCAGATGTTCACCGAAAATTATAGTGTTTGCACAGTTTAGGCATAGCGAATCATTCTTATCCATTAGGGAACAGAGAGAACATTCCGAAAGCAAGTTCCCAGATGCCGGCCAAGGGCCAAAAACTTGCAAGCAGACCCTTGTAAATATAGCAGCCTCAGGCTTGCTGTATTAACTCTTTTCTGCACACCATTCTTTAAATTTTCTTCCAGAATACATGTTGTAGGAAATAGAATATTCACACTTCTCACTCTTTGCCTACATAGCTAAAGAAAATGTGGTTAGCCTTGATTTTTAGGTATTTTCACTAGATTATCCACTAACAATTATCATTTTTAGATAACTATTACTATTATTAATAATATTGCTGCCATTAATCCTGGTAGTAATTATTATCCATAGTGGCAATATTATGAGCTCCTATGATTAATATACTGGGAATTATTTCTAATATAATATTCATATAAATAATCCATCCAATGATCATTGACATTCTTTTGAAGGTTTTAACATGCTAAGATCATGAAAATCTAAGGAGATTCTGTGTTTGGTTCCTCATTTTATTTTTCTTCTAATCTGTTAACAGGACAGACTTTCTGCAGCTTGAAGGAGCCAACAATGGATTTCAAGCGTGTGAAGGACTATTTCTCCTGGCTCTACTATCAATACCAAATCATTAGCTGCTGTGCTGTCTTGGAGCCCTGGGAGCAATCCATGTTCAATACCATCTTACTGACCATTTTTGCTATGGTGGTGTACACCGCCTATGTTTTTATCCCAATCCACATTCGTCTGGCTTGGGAATTTTTCTCCAAAATATGTGGCTATCACAGTACAATTTCTAATTGATTCTGTTTGCATTCTGTGAATCAGCTTTGCCTATGTATATGTTGCTTACAACTTACCGGTTTACGTGAATATGTGTCTTCTTTCATTGTCTGATCTGAAAAACTCTCTTGTCTATGCACTCTTATATCTTGCCTGCAGTGTGGGATAGATGTCTTTTAGGTTTTTTTGTACATGCTACATGGTGCATCAGTCCGTATAATGCATACACCTTGCCTCACATACCAACCATATTCTTTCAACTTAAATCTACAACTTTAGATTTTTTTTTTAATCAGGAAATTTCATATAAAATTTTTCTGAAAAGTAGGCTCATAAGAGACCTACCAGAATCATGTTTAAAATGGTCCCTTGATATTTATTCTGTACTAAAGGGTATATTTTTTAAAAAAAAATTTGTTCATAAGCTCCTGTCAAGAGTATCCTATCCTTGTTTACACATATAAAAAGGTGTGAATAAATTATATGGGCCCCCTAAAGTCTTATTTTCTAGCAAACTGCTGATACCTAAAATTCTTTTACTTCAAGTGCAAAAGAATAGGCGGGAGGCAATTATCTCTTTTCAGAATGGTTCATAAATTATTTCAAACGCCTCTAAAAGTCTGGCGTTATAAGAGTTTAAAATCAACAACGTTGATTTTAGATAACCCAGTAAGTATTATAATACAAAAAATATTAAGTGTAAAGAACAAAATATAATCAAAGTAAATTCAGATATCATGACTTGTGATGCTGCCTTGCCTTGCATGATGCCAGGGGGAAAAAGAGAAAAGAAATTGCTTTCTTTCTGTGATTTCACTCAGTGGAGGAGGGTGGGGGGAAGCACGTATTGGGCTACAGGAAGAAAAGCTAATAAATAGGCTGGAAGTAATATTCTACCAGCAGGAACTCGACAGCTCCAGTTAAATGCTTTGATACAGTGGCTCTTTTGCAGAGCAAAAACAAGATTTATTAAATTTCCTTCAAAGTGTTTATCTTAAAACAAATATAAGTTTTTAATTGTACTGCTGAATCAAATGTGAATGCCAAAGACCAAACCTTACAGTTTGTCTTTCCTTTCAATAAATAGTAAGGTTCGTAATTCTGAGGGTCAAAATGTAAATAGTTTTTGGACAGTATTTGCACCCATGTTTGTGTTATGGAAAAACATTTCCAAGGAAGGCTAGAGAGAAAGATGTTTGGCATGCCAAATTAACATGCATGTTTGTTAAAAAAAACAAAACAAAACCAAAAACACGTGTTTTGAAGATAAACCAGATCTGAACCTGGACTTGTTGATTTTTGCAAAATAAACTTAGGCTTAATTTTGTAAATAAGACAGTCACCCCCAGATTTGCTTTTTCCTCATATTGCACCAACTATCTAGGTGCTTCCATCCACACTTGACCCCAGACTTGTCTTTTTTTTTTTTTTTTAAGATTTTATTTATTTATTTGACAGAGACACAGTGAAAAAGGGAACACAAGCAGGGGGAGTGGGAGAGGGAGAAGCAGGCTTCCCGCAGAGCAGGGAGCCTGATGTGGGGCTCGATCCCAGAACCCTGGGATCATGACCTGAGCCGAAGGCAGACGCCTAACAACTGAGCCACCCAGATGCCCCTAAACTTATCTTTTCTTATAATCCATTGGGGCAACTGATCTTAAAACAGCGGGGTAAAATGAACATTTATTAAGGGTCTTCTCCATAGTGAACCCATTTTACATGTTGGAGTAGATATTAAGGTCTCCCAGTTCCAGGTAAGGGACGTGGAACTTGGAAAAGACGCATTTCTTGTTCAAGGTCCTTCAGCTGCTAGTGGCAAAGCAAGGAAGCAAATCCAGGGCGGGGACCCTCCGGGCCCAGAAATACGTGGCACATTGAAGCCCGTGGGAGGACAATGGGAGCAAACGAAAAATGATGGGATGGGGTCACTGACAGTTTAGGAAACAGAACCACATGGATTAAAAGACACAAGGGCATGAGGTCAGAGGAGCTGAGGTCAGAGGAGCAAGAAGCCCAGGTCCCAGTTTCCACCTTTGCTGCTTACCCGGGTGCTGTGTTCACCCATTTCTACACTGTCCAAGCCCATAGGCCTATTTTGAAAGATTGCTTTCACTTTTAAATATTTAAAAGAGGATTCTCAGTTAAGCATGAACTTGGATGCATTCCCAGTTCACAATGATTCAACATGCTTATATACAAGGACCCCTGCTAAGTACTCTTGGAATTCAATTACAAAGATACCGCACTGACCTTCTTAAAATCCTCCTTCTAAAAATAAGAGTTAAAATAAATGTGAAGAGACACAGTAAAGCCTAATAAAGGATATTGCAAAGCACCGCCCTCAGGATGTCACTTGGAAGGTAAGCATTTCCTCTGAGCAATCAAAATGATAAACACAGGGTTCATCAAATATAATCAAACATAGTATGGGGGGAAAAAACCTATCTGCATGCAGAAGGGAAGAGAACCCCACCTGCAGTGCCTGCTCTGTCAATTCGCTCCACTGGGCAGAGATGCTCTTTACCATGACCAGAGTTAGCCTAGATTACAAACACTTTTTATATGCTTTTTCTTTTCTTCTATTATTTGTATATTGCAATAGTGGTCACAGAACTTTAAAAAAAAAAGAACAGTCAAAAGTTTCATGGTTAAAATGGGCTTGCGTTTGTCACTCACTGAACTTGGAATCATAAAATGTTCCTTCACGGATATTGGCCGAGTCAACAACGGCTTTTCCCTACTTGTGCAACCAAAAATACAAGATGCTGAGAAAGCAGGCAGTTTTTTTTTTTTTTAAAGATTTTATTTATTTATTTGAGAGAGAGAATGAGATAGAGAGAGCATGAGAGGGGGGAGGGTCAGAGGGAGAAGCAGACTCCCTGCTGAGCAGGCAGCCCGATGAGAAAGCAGGCAGTTTTAACACCAAGATAACACTGGTCAGTCTTTGTTAATAAGTTGTGTGTACTAAAAAAAAAAAAAAAAAAATCACTAGGTCACATCTTCTACTTCTTTCTTCTTCCATCATTACCATATTTAGATTCTCTCACTAGCAGAGCATGTGCCCCTGGAAGGCAGGAAATTTGTTCTTATTTCCGAATCCCCAGTATCTAGCCCAGTTCATAATACAGAACTTAGCAGATACACATCCTAGAGCACATCACATAGTTCCCCATACCCTTATCCACACAGAAACAATGGGATGGGGTCACCGACAGGTTAGGAAGCTCAGTATTTGTACTGGGCCAACCTCAGAATGAATAGCTTCCATCTATCAACCAGAAGAGTAGCACTCATTCATCTGTTTATTCATTCATTCAACAAACGTATTAAAAGCCAACCATGTACAGATAGAGGAATGGAAAGATGGATAGATATCTAATGAAGAAAGCCTAGTAGAAACTAGATTGCAGGTATTCACATGTCTGTTGTAAAATTCTCTTAACTTTACTGCATGTTTGAAAGGTTTTTTTTTTTTTAAGATTTTATTTATTTAAGATAGAGTGAGAGCGAGCCAGAGAGAGAGTGAGAGAGCATGAGCATGGGGGGAGGAACAGAGGGAGAAGGAAAAGCAGGCTCTCCACTGAGCAGGGAGCCCAATGCGGGACTTGATCCCAGGACCCCGGGATCATGACCCGAGCCGAAGGCAGATGCTTAATGACTGAGCCACCCAGGCAGCCCTGTTTGAAAGTTTTTATAAAAAACAAAAAACAAACAAAGAAAAAACGCTGGAGGAAAAGTCTACTACAGGCTAGTTGTTGAGCTTGCCACTAGGAAACAAAGATAAATGAGACTGAAACAGTAACACTCCCAAATTCATGAATCATACAATCTGGTACACAAGATGACACAAGAAAAAAATAAGCAAACAAAATATTTATGAGTTGTGATAAGGTCTTACGAAAGGAACAGGAGTGTGCTGGAGAGGAAGCAACAGAAAGTCGGGGAGGGTCGAGCATTTGGGAGACCCAGTGAGACTTAAATCCAAACTTCTCTCATTGTAGGATGGTAGCAGGAGGAGGAGGTGGGAAGGAGGTGATCTTACACTGTAAGAGGGGGACACTGGCTGTTGTGTGAGGGTGAGTGGGAGGGGCAGGGGTCAGAGCAGGGAGAACCCATGCAGGAGAGGGCTGGACTAAGGGGGCAGTATCAGAAGCAGAGACACAGATGGTCTGATTTGACATATATTTTGGAGCTAGAAAGTCAATACATCTTATTTATGGGTTGGATCAAAGGAGTAATTCCATTAAATACCCAAAACCTTTTTCTTTAAACTCCAAAAGAAACTTCCCATTTTGGTAAAGTTATTTCCGGAGCTGATTAACTATCCTAAGAGAGGTTGAAGGAAGCCACCTTCATATATTTTTTCTATTTTTTCCACTGTATCTCATCAAGAGTCCTTACACTTATGACTGGAAGAAAGGACTCCAATTTTCCACCAGGGAACAGAATGTTATTCTCTAGGTACTTTGCATCATCAAAACAGACTAGCCAAAATATCAGTAGCATGGTTGTTCCTAGGGATTAAATTATCCCAAGACTAATTCTACAGCTTGAAAAGGCTTTAAAAGCAAACTTCCAGGCTCGGGTTCTCTTTGATTCATTCCCGAATTATTATGCTGAGAACAGTGAAAGTAATGGTATTGAGAAGATTTAATAGTAGTGTTATTGGAGCATGGCTGACCAATTTTTAATTTCAGTTATTTGGTTAGAAATTATGAGGAAATAGGAGGCAGAAGGAGTTCCAAAATAAAATTACAGTTGCCTTTACCATAATGGCAAAGCCTATTTCTGTAGCTTTTCTGTGAACAATGATGATGTATTCCATTAACAAAATTCACACTTTTAATCATTTCCAGATGGAATTCAAAATTCAAATTGCTTTTTATTATTGTATTTTTGTTCCTAACAGAGGCAGCACTTAACCCAGATGTCTGATTGTCCGGGAGGGGAGACTGCAAAATGGAGGAGAGAGTGCCCCACATCTCTCTCTCTCTCTCTCTTTCTCTCTCTCTCTCTCTCACACACACACACACACACACACAACAGCAGGTAAATTCCCTGGATGGCATTATCCTGATCACTAGGGATGCAGCGATGGAGGAGAGCCCCATGTCACCCAGCTTGGATTCCCACTCAGCAATGAGAGGAGAAAGGAACAAGGAGGAAGAAGAGTCAGAGAGATTGGGGGAGGGGAGGGAAGAAGGAAAATGGAAGAAGGCTTATCCTTTTGTTTTCTGAGTTCATACTGGGAAAGTCGCACTTCCAAGTAAAGTGCAATGCCTCTCCTCCATCTTCATCCCTCAAAGAAATTCCCTGATCTCATATATTTTTTTCCTAACACGAGCCATGTCCAAATGTTTTATATCTTGTTCATATTAATAATTCAGTTTCTTTTGTTAAAATAGTTCACCTTTGCCCATAGTAAAAAAAATCTTCTGAATAATCAGGCAACTGATCCTCTCTCCATCCTCCAGTGGGTCTTATGTCTTCCCTCCCCTATGGCCTGGCTTCTAAGTTTCACTCTGTCTCACCCCATCCCAACCCCACTACGTCATTATTTTTCAAAGCTCAATAACCTCCTTAGATAATTAGGGAATGGATTTGGGTCTCTCCAGAGTGTCTTCAAATTAAAAAGTCTACAGTCTATGAAATTCTAGTGACTCTCAGCATTTCAGCTTCCTGAAGCTTTCCCTGGTTATTGATAGGAACCTGACCTTTCTCTGAAATTCTATGGCCTCTGTAACCCTCGCACTAACCATCATTGTTATGGGAGAAAGGTAAGACAGTCCACAAATAAAAACAAACAAGCAAACACACAAAATCCCAAAGAGCAATCAGTCAGTCCTTTACCGCAGATTCAGTTGAGAAAATATAGTTCATTGAATGGGTGGTGGGTTTATAGGAGAGGCCTTCCTGGGGGATTCAGCTTGCACCTTACATTTCAGTAGCCACGCCTACTCCGCAGCCCCGCCCCCCCGCCCCCCCCCGCGAAGGCCTCTTCGGGGCCCTCCCCCTGCCTACTCTGACTTGCTGCCCCAGGAATGGTTCACTGTCTTTCTCAGCAACCTCAGTTTTCACCACTGGATGAACACAAAGGACTGGGGATAAGAGGACCGGCTCTGAGTAGAATCTACAAAGAGGGAAGCGGTTCGGTTCCTGTCCTGGTCTAGCCAACAGACAAGGGTCCGCTGTAACCTCTGGTAGCTTATCTTTTACACCTTGTTATGCAAAGGCATTGCCATCCTCCCAGCCCGGAATTATGTTTCCCTGAGCCAGAAAAAGTAACTGGCTCCAAAAGAGGGGTGCGGG